TACAAAGGAAAAAAAGGCAAAAAGTAATAAATGTTCGGCGAAAATAAAAAATGAAAAAAAACACGAGTACCTGAAGCTTCACTTTGAACATCGGCCGCCTGTAAAAAGAAAAACTTCAAAATGACCTTTAAGGCTGAAAAAAAGTGGTGATTTTACTTCACTGGAAATTAATTACTATATGTCTCACCGACAGTGACAAGAAAATGGAAATACAAAAACATCAAGAAGGGTTTTACGCTAGATTATACTGAACTAAACATAGCAATGTGTTTTTGAATTAATCAAATCAAAACAGGGCACATGCAGTTTTTTCAGTTCTGTTTTCAGAGTTGGTCAGAGAAACACGACTGAAAAAACATTGTGTTTGTTGTCTTAAACAACCTTTTGCTTTGAAAGGCAATCAAGTTACAGAATAGCCAGATGAAAGTGTTTGATAAATTACACATAGATTTTCATCTGTGAAAGCTACTCTTAAGATAAGTCACAATAAAAATTGCAACTTCCGAAAACACGCGTGATATTAATCCTTAATTTTACTCGGCCCCATGCGATTACCTATACTTATTTAACCTCGAATTTAGAGTAGCTAAAGATAAGCTAGTATCTTCGAGTTACAAGTATAATTCTAAATACTACTAAAATGTAAAATGTAAAATGTAAAATTGTAACATTCTCAAATTTAACTATGAAAAAGAATCATATTGTAGAATCTTGCGCTTGAAATCAGGAAAGCACTACCTATTACTAATTTTTATAACTTACTACGAATGCACTGTCTTTTACCGGCCAAGATGTGATTTATTTAGCAATTCTCCCAACTAGCTGCAACATATTTCGTTGCAAATTGGTTAAGAAAACTTGGTACTTTAAAAATGACTGGCCGTTACTAACAATTTTGTCGACTGTTTGCTAAATTATCTATTAATAATTATGACAGAGCTGAATAACGTCAGTTATGAGGCCAACACTGCGGGCTCAAGCGTACGAGGTTTAAAATTTAGCGAAATTTGCGAAAATAATAAGGAGCTGGCGTATAAAACCAAGCCATTTTGTTGTCGTCGGAGGCATTTCCCTATTTCCAAAGTTTTTAAGGAGAAAATTAATTTTCGAAATATTTAGGGGGCATACTAAATTTTTAGAAGTTGTTCTGCAAAAGAAAAGCGGCAAGGAAACAACGCCTCGAAGCAACAGAATAGAAAAATCAACCATGCGAACGACTCAAAATTCGTTTTCCGCGCCAAAACCTAGCGCGTGCACATACGTTATTCATCTCTGTCCTAATACTAAAAATAGAAATTTTTAACAAGTTTCTCTGAATACCTGTCCTTGGAGGATGGAAAAACAGTGATGCAATGTGCTCAGAGCAGACTACAACAGAAAATAACATAATGTAAAAAAATTATGCATTGTGTCAATACGCTGGTACAATGATGAGGTCAGACAGTTGTAGTTACATGTACCAAGCAATCAGATCTCAAAGTAAGGAGAGTGAATTTAGTGAAAAAGGTTTAACTAAGTCATTAGAAATCCATGCTAACTATTACTACCTTATTTCTTCCCTGCTCCTCTCACCCTAATATAACCTGTTTTGTATTTATTTCTCCCTCTAAACTACTCTCTTGTGTACTACTGTTTTTTTTTGTCTAAGTTAAAGGGAGGTTTGCTACTCTGAAATGATAACTCAAACTAATCTGTTCAAGGCCAAAAATATAGTATGGTAAATATGTTAAAATGAAATCATAAAACAGTTGACTCGCCCTGCGGACACCCTGCTATTACCAACACCCCACCATTGTGGACAAGAGCCAACCCCCTGGCGAAACACATAAAGATGCAACTGAAACCAACTCCCAAACAGAATCTCACTATTACCAAAATACATACACTTTCATCACCCCCAATGCAACATTTCACTGTTTTTTTTCTCTCTTGCTATAGCAGACACTAAGTACTTCATCCAAAGTCTTGACTCACATAATATAAAGTGACATTAGGATAAAGGAAAATTAAAAAACACAATTCTTCAATAGAATGCCAACACTACAATATCCATCTTGCCACCAGATCTCTGTCCGGTTCCTGAGGCCACATGCTAGAAACTTTATGTTGCTAATGTTACATACTACTTCATAGTTTTAAAGACAAAACATTTTTTTTCTACCATTGCGGACACCGAATCTCTCCCACCCCCACACCCCAAAAAGTCCACAATAGCAGGAGGCAACTATAATTTGATTTGCATCTGTATTTGTTTAAAGAATTAAGAGAGCTACATAATTATCAAGCAAGTTTGAAATAATCATAAAATGAATTTGTTTTCTACTAAAACATCTCTTCTTTACAAAAGGTATTTCCAAAACTACCAGTGATCATACCTGAGCTGTTGCTTTAAGAATCAGTACATCCTATAAATTAAAATGAAAAGAAACAAAATCAAAAAGAGAGCAATTCAAAAGTTAAAACATGCAGTTAAAAAAAAGAAACTTTATTAAGTAGCCAAGCAAAGACAGCTTGCAAGAAGTCTTAGAGTAATAACTGATTCTCACATATACGTACAGGGGTTTCATTAATTTTTTCAGCAGGAGTGCAACTGGTTTTCACAGGCGGGCAAAACTTTTTTAACTAAACTTCTTTATAAGATAAACCTTCCTCCAAATTGTTGAACCAGGTGGGCAAAACTGTCCTTACAACCAGTCAATTTGGCTGGTGCCCAGCCCTTAATGAAACCCCTGCACGTGACAAATGATAGAAATGGAACTGATAATGCTGTTCATAATGGTGAATTTGTTTCATTTTCATTACTTACATTATCCAGAGGAAAAAGTGATTCTTCTCCTGTTGGATCCAACTGCAATAAGATGGTTGTACAATTTATCAGGAATCAGCTGATTTAGTCAGTTAATTGGCCAATATTAGTTATCATTGGTCAATACGTCTATATTTTGTCTCACAAAACATAGTCAAAATGCACTTGTCAAGCAAAATAACTAAGAAATGACACTGCCCATGTCTTGAAATTCTTTCCAGCTTTGACTTTTCCCAATTAGTTCTCCAGCGTAGTTGGCAACATTCTGCTATGATTTATAAATTTTATTTTATATTGATTAAACCTATCAAAAGGAGAAGTTCAAACAATCCCTGATGCTCATCTAACTCCTACCTTTTTCAATTTATAACAGGAAAACTAGTAACTAGCAAAGAGCATTCACCTCCAATAGATCAATAAGAGCCATCTGTTGATCTTCTATTCTGTATAGATCCTCTCTGATGTGGGATATTTGCTCCATGATCTTTTCAGGTACATGATAGGTTTCATGTGTCACTTTAGGAGAGTCTGACAATAACTCATCTGCCCCGGCCACCTGAGGATGGCCACTTGAGGACGCTGCTGTTACTGTTTGCTTAACAGGACCACTTGACTGAGCAGATGACTGAGAGAAACTGTGTGTGGTATATAGTGGTGGGGCAGCCTGGCAAGCAACATGGGTTTAACAGAGTCAGCACTGGCGCCTAGTTGTCAAGAGCTATTCAACAGATCTATTCATTCATTGTCTATGAGAATCAACCTCAAAAAATGGATTTGAGATTGACCAAAACATTTTAGCTTATGCAGATCATAAACCATAAAAATTTAATTAGAAACAGTTAAGATAAGGTTTGTGCAACAAATAGAGAAAGAAAAAATATTTCCATGTTCCACCACAAAAAAAAAAAAAATAGAGAAAGTTACCAGTATTTAAAATTGAAAATATACACTGGACTTTTTTGGATACAATATGCAGTTTTATTGCGGTAAACTAAACTGCCATAAAAACCATGCAATGAAATCATCAAATAAGCTTGCTAGTCAGCAACATTGAATGTAGGGAGAACTAAGTGTTATTAATAAATCTGTAATATAATTCCTTATACCCATAGCACTTAATTCAGGATAGCTATAAGTGGGGGTGGGGGAAAGAAAAGCAGGAGGCAGGGAGCAAGGGGCAGGGAGGTAAGAGGGACAGGGGGGACAGGGGGGACAGGCAGTCATCAAAACTGAATCAAATTACAGCATTAAAATTGCACCTCAGCAATACTTGATGTGTGAAACTCAGCCACACTTCTCAGTTTATTAATCCAATCCTGTCTTTCTTTTGCATCACTGGCTGGGTTGGGGAGAAAAGACAATAAGAATTAGAATAACAGGGTTTTCATCATAATTTGCTGGGAAGAAAGACAAAATAAACCACAAAACAATGATTCCTCATTCAATACATTTTTCTCACAATACCTACAACGGAAAACTTAACTGATTTTTTTCTTCTATAAGCAGACATAAGTTGAAAGAAAGAGTAGAGCTGTGACAAATGGAAGTTTACCAACTTACAACCCTATCATCAGTATGCATATTCTCTACACTGTTCTCTAAATATTTCCTAGGGTGCTGATGAGGAGAATTTTTTCAATGATCAAGAGCCTCTTTAGTTGGTGATCATTTCTTTTATCCTTGTGACCTTGATGTTTGACTGGGGGGGGGGGATTTTGTGAGGGGAAGTTAGATGCTGCAGGGCTCAACACTAACTTTTCAACTTACTAGCCAAGTGGCTACTAGTGACATCTTAGATGTTTTTGGAAGTTATGACAATTTTAGTCTGTTTACTAGCCAAACTGGCTAGTGGAAATTGAAAACCACTAGCCAAAACTGAATTTCTACTCCTAGCTACTAGCTCCAACTACTCGCTCCTACTAGCTCTGACGAAGGGCTAACGCTCAAAACGTCAGCTTTTATAACCGTAACGGTGGCCAATTTACCATTTCAACTTTGTTGATATATTCAAATTACATTGAATTTCTACTAACGAGTCTGTGGCTAGTGGGCTACCCTTAGTGTCGAGCCCTGTGCTGGTCACTCTTATGGCTTAAAGGGCTAATGAATGATTTTATAATACATCAAAATATTTTATTACTAATTGGTGTTGTAAAGACTAGAATATTCAGGTTTTCTTTCTGCATCGATCTTGATAGCATCAAAAACTCGCAAGGTTATGCTTAAAAAACAACGGGACTAACGGTTACCTCGCAGTTTAAAGATATCGCCATTTGCTGCACTAACAGCAAATGTGAACGAGTCCTCGTCACTGGGAGCTATCATACTTCCCTATTACAAACAAACAAACAAACAAAAATAAATAAACAAACACAAAAAAATGAAAAAATTCAACCCAAAGAAAGAGAAACCTTCAGCTAGAACATACGCAACAAAACAAGAACGTTACCACTCAAACTACAGAGTAACACTACAAACTCATTGTCATTGAGAGCAATCATAAACCTGCTAATTTGTGAAACTTGTGATGCATGTTCAATCAACGAATCTTACCCCAAGATAAACTGATCCTCTTGGCCCCAGCTTTTTCTTCTCTTTATCCTGGTATCAGTAGATAGTAAATCAAAATATTTTACTGATTCCAGTTTCAAAAGTTCAGCCTCTGTACAACGTTAACATCAGTTAGGTAACAGTTCGCAATTCCAGATGTAGTAAAATAAATTAAAAAGTCTGGATATTTAACTACAAGAATTATTAGAAGGTGAGCACCATTGTAAAAGAACCCTTGTTTTTAGTCAGCAAGAGAGGTCAACTCATAACTTTTCTTGTAACCATGGCAACCAAAAAAAGGTCATCGCAGGGAGCTGAGATGTAATGATTTTGTTAAATATCAGAAGTCAGCCATTGATCATTAAATAAATGCTTACCACATAATACTCCAATAATCCAGAATCAGGATCAAGAGTGAACCACCTAAACTGCCAGCCTTTCATTAGATTAGTCCATTTGCTAAGTTGTCCTTCAGTTGGTTGTCTGTGGCAAAATTAGAAAACCACTGTCGTATAACTTCCATTTTACACCAAAGATCTCGATAATCAACTATCCTTACTTCCTTTTAGTTTTAATTCTGAGAAATAAGTCTTTAAGACTTTCACTCCTAAGATCACAACAGTAAATCTCCTTACTGTCTACCATACAATTCTTATGATGGTATTTGGGAGAGTTTCGTTTTAGATCAACTTATAATCCTCTAATTAGATATAGGTCTTTGGCATTACAAAGCTGTGCTTTTATGTTCAAATTGAGCACTCTACTAGGATGAGTCATGTCATACAATTGTGCGAAGCTCACTAGTTTCTAGTTTGAGCACTCTGGCATGGCTTAAATGGAACCACAAATGTGGAATCATTTGGGGTGGCTTTATAGCTTCACCCCCATCTTAGAATCAGCATTGCACTGATGAGGCCCAGAAGGCTGAAACAGTACTGTCTGCAGTTAATCCTCTGATTAACATTTTTCTGTATTCTCATCCCTTGTCTGCTTGTTATTGTATTAATTTTGTAAGGAGAAATTCTCTCTTGGTCTCTCACAGGAGCTTAAGAGTCAATCAAGCACGCCAACTACCAGTTTAGATACTCTTGGATTACAATTATAATATCTATCTCAATCCAACATCCCAAAATGCACACAGAAGCATTGATTAATAACAGTAGAATAAATAGAGCTGTAAGCTCATGTGTTCACAGCTGCTAAAACCCTCCCCCTCCCCCTCCCTACAAGTCTACAAGTTGTCCAAACGATTTTAAACTCTACTCAAAAATAAGATGCCAAACAATTTAGCTTGAATGTATCCTTGTAAGCTTACAAGTTGAATCACAGCTGAAAATAATTTGTGAAGCCTTACCTGAATTTATCTTCAACTCGCTGTTGATCAAGAACCTAAAATGGATAAATCCAGAACACAGAGCTTATGAGAATGTAAACGGTCTTTTTATGAAACAATTTATCCAATCTTTCCTCAATTCCATTCGAGTCACAATCGATACGATCGAAGCGGACAAAAACACATGGAACGATAATTCATTAGTAATGACAGTCACAAAAGTTGACACAGTCTGAGATTTCCACCTATTTTAAATGTTACCTTAGCTTTTTGCATGACACCGAGTATCGCGGTTTTCTCTTCTTCAGAAAATTGGCTCAGATCGATGTCGAGATTAGCAAAGTAAGGGTCTTTTAGTATGTCCTCAGCCACCGCCATCTTGGCTGGTGCTGTATTGTGATGGCCTCTTTTTCATGCAGTATTGGCAGTACTCTTACGGGTAGGGTAAAGGTACGCTGAGAGCGGGGGGTACTTTTCGTAAGTTACACCGGCATATATCGGAGATCAATACTTTTTATAAAACTGTAAACGCACAAAAAAAAGCTATTAAACAAACTGCTGTCTCCTATTTTCACAGAAAAGATTTTAGTAATCTAATGGAAACTCACATGATAGACCACTTCCGGTTTGCTAGTCACGCCGCCATCACGCCAACATTTGTCCACTAGATATTATTCATCCACCAGGAAACTGGAATCCTTTTCAACCTTAAATCAGGGCTACAAGTTAGATTTTTTATCCGCAGAACGCTATGAATAGGTCAACCGGCGCGTGCTTCCTTGAGTTTTCTCTATACTTTTACTAGTTAACACCTACGATATCACTAATATAAACTCTTTAAGTGATTAATTCCTAATAAGAAATACAGATTAGGCTTCACGCCCTGTTTGGCTTATTTTCTATGCATTCATACGTTGCATACTATGGATAATAATATTTCGTGCAAAGCAATTTCCGAGAGTTCAACGGCACTCTACAAGGTATTTCACTCACACGTATTTTCAATCAAATGGTCGTTAAGTTGAACATATGAAACAGAATAAAATGCTGTTTTATATCAGATGCCCCAGTGAGAAATCAGCCAAATGCTGTTCTTGAGCTATTCTTAATTTCCTTTTTGAAAATAACAATTTATCACATGGATTCTTCACTTTTTTTTTTAATTTTGTATAAAAGTTCCCAACTTATTCTGAGCTCAACTCTATGTGGTTTCAGGAAATTTGTATACCCTTCCATTCAGTGCTTCAGCTCAGAGCTTCATTCCCCTGGAATGCCAGCTTTTGACTAAAAAATTCCAGTCCCGACTGTGCTATTGTTAAAGGTCTATCACTTACACTTCGTAATGGGCCACTGATACCCAAATTTTATTAAATTAGAACCTGTTCAATCTTGTCAGGCCGAACTGGTTCTTACTTGTTCTATGCTTTAACCATCGAATATCAGTCTGAAGGTTCGTAAACGATTCGTTCCAGTATGCGGGTGTTACCTTGTAAGCTTTTTAGAGGACCTCAGTGGGTTAACCGTTTGTCGTAAATCGGCGAAAAAATTTAGATGTTAGGTGTAAAAATCGACATATTTTAACCCTTAGTCGTGTACACAAAATTGCATGTTTCACGCTTGACCAAATACGTACTGAAACTGAATACTGTAAAACAAAAATACTCCCTGTCGCACGCTTCAAATTTCGAAACTTTATACTCGCTTACGTTTCCAAAAAGCTTTTAAAACAGTTCTTAACTGCTTTATTGCCTGATATGGAATGTTCACCATAACATGACTGAGACTTTTACTTCCGTTGGACGATCAATATGCATGATTTTCTACAAAATTCTAGTTGTTTGGTGAAAAGTCGCCAGGGTGCTAAAAGTTCCGGCTGCCGCCGGCAGTCGGCTGTTATTTCGAACCCTGAGGATAATACCGGAAAACGATGTAGATCAGAGTATTCAATCATAATTGCTAATAGGGCTGATGACTGACTTAACATTCAGGCTAATGAAAAAATAATAATCGAGTGCCACTGCTATCCGCCAAAAAAAACTGTTACGTTTTAAAGATCCCGCTTTTAAAGATTCCCGTTTTGAAAGATTCCCCGTTTTGAAAGATTCCCCGTTTTAAAGATTCCGGCTTTTAAAGATTCTCCCGTTTTAAAGATTCCCGCTTTTAAAGATTCCTCATATTAAAGATTCCCGCTTTAAAAATTCCCTATTTTGAAGATCTCCGCTTTTAAAGATCCCTCCTTGCAGAGATTCCTGCTTTTTAAAAAGATTCCCCGTTTTTAAGATTCTCGCTTTAAAGATTCCCCGCTTTGAAGATTCTCTGCGTTTAAAGATTCCCCGTTTTAAGATTCCTCGTTTTAAAGATTCCCGCTTTTAAAGATTTCCCGTTTTAAAGATTACCGCTTTCAAAGCGGATTCCCCATGATAAAGATTCTCGCTATTAAAGATTTCCCATTCCCCATTCCCTCTTTTAAAGATAGCCGCCAAAAATTTTAACCGCGAGCCGCAAAAGCCAACACCCCATTGAGACCACCTTTGAAAGAAACTTTTCTTTCTCCCATGTTCTCAGAATTTGATACAGATTCACAGTTCCTGATATAATCAGGAAGGAAATTCCATAAAAATGGTGCAGCAACAGAAAATGTTTTTCATCCATATCGCTTAAGATTGTACTTAGTTCTTAGCAATTCATATAAATTAGAGCCGTGAAAACGGCGCGCTCTCGAACGACAGTGGGAGAACTAAAGCAGAGACGGTTTTGAGCCAACCAGAAAAAGAAAATAACTAGTTCCAACACACTTTCAAGCCAATGTATCGACCGTAAGGTCGTCGTTTTAGCATTTTTAACCAAATTGGGCTGACCAAAAAGGTATGGTGGGCACAAGCAATGAGAACTTTTAACTTCCGGCCGCTGTGTGCTTCTCAATCACATTTGTAAATGATGTGTGGCAAAGTAAGTTCTTGAATAGTATACTACTATTGCTTTATTGTGTGCATAGTTGGTACCGTAAGTAATATAAAAGGAACATAAAAATACGCTTTTGTTACCGGTTCATTGTTTGTCACAAGAATTAAAATAGACACGCATTATCTGTGTTTTTGGTCACCCCTTTCCTTTTTCCTAGATTTTTCTTTTTTAACCTTTTTCCTTTTCTTCTTCCCGTCTTCCATTCTTTCGACAGTTCCTAAACTATTAACGATATCTTTGTCCTTCTTCTTTCGTTTGTTACCTTTATCGTTTGTTTCTTCGACTTCGGGAATTGTTTCATTGAAAGATTTATCCTCACTAAAGCTACCGTCTTTCTTGTCACTTCTTCGTTCACCCTCGTACAACTTTTCCAAATCTTCGTTTTCCGATCCCACAATCCCCTTCTCGCTCCTTTTCGTGGACTTTTTCTTTTTATCTCTTACCCCTTCTGCTGTATCCAGCCTCCCCAAAGAGCTGTTGTCAACTTCTAAAGTCTCGCCAAAAATTTCTTTTGTTTTTTTCTTCTTTCCTTTTTCTTCTGTCCTGTCCTTCGAGGGTTTGCATTCACTCTCCGATCCAGATTTTGTTTTTTCAACCGCGCCGTTTTTCTTTCTCTTTCCAGCCGGACATTGCACATTGATGGAATGCAAAACTCTTACGTTATTGACCAATTCTCCATCTTCAATCGCTTGTTTACGCTTTCTTTTACTCTCTTTCTTTCTCTTCTTCTTTGGCTCTGACTCCCCAACCTCTTCGCCATGATCTTGTCCTGAAACTGTTTCTTCCCGAGTGGCGCTAGCTTCCACTGTCTGTTTTCTCTCTCGAGCTGCTTCCATCTCCTTCATTTTCATCTCGAAGTATTCCTGAATGCTTTTTCC